GCCCGCTTGTTTTCCAGGTTGCCGTGTACATAAATATGATAAAAATAGAATTATCTTTATACTTCGCCACATTGTATTTCTATACTCGCTGTTAGCTACAGTTTATACAGTGCCTTCTAATTATAGCTTTAAAATAAAAGCTATAAAATGGCATATATTTTAAGTACTCCTTGCACATGTACGAGCGTACTCCTTCTTAGAAGACTGGCAAAGCGCCTGTGACTCCTCTGGTGTTGCAGGTGTCCATGGGCGGCGCCGATCGCTTACCATCAGGTGATTCGTCTGCTCGTTTGCCTCCTATTCCATAAATAAAAACATGGTTTCGAACAAAATTAATAAAATAAGCTTCAGTTCGTATTTTTCCATTACTTTTTATTATTTTCTAATTTTTTATCTGTTAATTGAGACACCAATAAAGAAATAAGTTGATAATATTAAACTGCTACAATAATGTATCAGTAATATTTGCAATTTTATTTTGGAAATTGTCGATGCGTGCAATGTCATTGGCTCGTCGATTGGAATGCGTAATTACAATTATCATATCAGCCAACAGTCGTGTGTATAAACTTAATATTCGAACGGTCAAATAGAATCAGTAATGGCAATTGTTGATCTCCTGGCCCGTGGACGTTTCATTAACCTCTTGGCAAAATTATCCTTCAGATCCACATACATATCATTCAGATTTTATTTAGAATAGATTCAGATTATTTACTTAGAAAATTCTACGAATGTTGTTACAATGGAGTGCGATTTGCGGCTCTATTTATCATATTTTAATAGTCGATGATGTGTTGTTGATAGAAACTCCATATTTTCTCATGAATAAATAAATGATCAATAAATCCATTATAACTATGGAATTTATTGTCAATTTAATATTATAATTAAAATATTTACGCTTCCGACGGTCCTTTTTAGGATTAAATTAGCGTGTTGCTATGTTTTATCCATATTCACTTACGCTTGCCAATTTACACACGATTAAGCGCCATAGCTTGCAACCACCTATTGTGGGGTGCAGTGAAACGCTCACATTCCTCTTTGATTACTCATTCATGATCTAGTGTAATGCGATCATTATGTACCACTCAACTTATTATTTATACCTTCAGAGGATCATCAGTAGGTAATTATTATGAGGGGAGTTATTCTGAAACAATAATTTATCACCGAACTATACAAGGCGTTTTGTTATTTACATAATTTTATAAAGTACGGAAAAGTCGTAGAAATAAGAATAAGTGTAACCACAAGAGATAGGTAGGCCATGCATGATCATAATAATAAAATATGGCCGTACCCTACTTAATATTATAGAGGAAAATAATTTATTTTTGTGGCTTGTCGTATTAACGTCAAGTCGAGACGGTATCGGTCTCTCTGGACAGATCAAATTGTTCGTTCCGCTTTCAAAACCGTAAAGGCGTAAAATTGAGATAAGCTCAAAATAGACCACTTACACTCCACGACCGTTTTCCGTATCAGTGATAAAGAGATATTTTTGAGACGGAAATTTTCATAATAAGAAATTAATGAGAGTCACCATCTGTTGATTAATGATTACTATATATCATAGATGTTTATCACAAGTATGTATTTAACTTGCTATGTAAATATGTATGTCAGTTTGTGATGATGAATCTTAAAACAAAATTTTGAAGTAGATATACCTTCAACCGATTAAACTGTAATTTCGTACAAACATCAATTTAGTTTGACCATAAATATGAATTTACTCCAAATAATATAATAAATCTTAAGTCATTTATTACAATAGGTATTTTGTAATTAGAACAATTCAGTATACATTACGTAATGTAAAAGAATTTAATTTTACTTTATATAATGAAACCTACTATTCCTCTGATTTTAGTGATCAAAATGAAAATACAAATCAGTAACTAAACATTCATTTTTATTACATTTATAATGAACCCGTCTTACATTGGTTTACATGTCAAATATTCTAATGAAATTAATTGATACTTCAATTATTTTTATCAATGCTTTCATGCTCGTTGTATATACTTCACAAAAAATCTATGTATGTATTTATAATTTCTATTTAAATAAAGTTATATGGTTTTGAGAGGCAAAAATAATAAACCGATTTTTGCAAAAAAAATAATCTGATCACGCCGGGCAAACTTTACAGTCTATGTGTTATTCGGTAAAACCTCTCTACCATCTCGGGCCGAGTATGAAACATAACTCAATAGTGAGCGTAGGGATTCAGGGGCAACCGAGTGTAAAATGGTCGACATGGAGAGGCATTTTCAAACTGACCGGACGGTACCACCCTTTGCCTCCCTGAAATATGTTTGGTGCGCCGGTATTTGACATTCTTATATCCACACTCCGTGCTTTCACACGTGTTAAATTGGAATTCATGTTTATTGATTTTCTTAGAAGAGTATTTGGGAGGTCTCCCTATTTTATTTTTCTGGAGAATTTCTATATGAGTTGAAAAAGTAATTTGTTGCCTGCCAAGTTCCATTAATAGGTTGCATCTGCTCTCGAAATCAATCTTTGAAATTCACCGACAAACTTATAATTTGGTATTCTTCTGTGATCTGACTTAATGCAGATAAGTCTTAGTATATAACAATAACATTTTTATATGGAAAATAAGTTTCAAAAATAGAATTTTCACTTTCAAAAAAAAATTTTCGGATGACACTGACAGTGTACAAAGGATGTTGATACTTCGAAACTCTAAGAAAGCATTACAATTTGTTCGTCCACAATTGTCGCTTAGAAGCTCGTTCTCCCCCAATTGACTTTCCCAACTTCCGAATGAAGTTAAGAAAGTGATATAATCTACGTTTACAACGTCTCGGCAAAATAAGTAATACTTTAAAGACAAATTTATTTCTACACTAACATCATTCTTCTTTACCTGGTACATTCATTTGATTTTACTACATCCGAGCTATCCTTCATGCTAGGAAATCCAAAGTGACTGCATATAACAGAAACAGATATTTATTAGTCTCAAAGGAACCAAACTCACGACTCCCGTGATAGTTTCGCCGAGAATAATATAACCTATAGCTACCTGTCTAACGTGATCTATAGAGATACGTTGTATATTCCGCACTGACGTTCTTTCAACGTTGCAATCTTTGTACTCTTTTTATTTTACGCCGTATATATGTATGTACATTGCAAAATATTCTGCATCTTTGAATAAATTGGTAAAATTTTTTTTTTATTTATCTCGGTTTCACAGTGTTTATTATCTTTTTTAGTATTCAAATGTTAACCTTAAATTGCTCCTTTCGATCACGGTAAAAGAAGGTTTTAATAAACATGCACCTACTATTTTCTACAATCATTAGCATCCAAACAACACACTGCTGTCTTATCAAATCCTCGTTATGAATATTAAACTCGTATTTATGTTTTAATTTCCTTCGGTACGCTGGCAATATTTAAAAATGATGTTATAAAAATATCGCGTTTCGCCGAAACGGGGAATTCCCGCGCATTCGACCGGAAAATAGCCGACATAAAGGTCCGACATTCTGCTCTGACCGGAGCACGGACGCCGATAAAATATATATGAGGACCGCCCTCGCCGCAAGTGTCCTAATGTTGATAAAACCTGATAAATCAACACTCTCCGACCAAATATGCTCTCAAATCTTTATTTGTTAGTACTGTGACACGTTTCTATAACTTTTTATAGTCAGAAAAAAATGTTAGGCTTTTCCAAGAAGACATGATACTTACAGAATTAAGCTTTTATTTTAAGGGGCTCTGAGTTCAAATACCTTAACACACTCGCTTTTCAGTAGATATTTCGTGATAAGCTCAAAAAACAGTGACATGAAATTCCATAAAGTAACTGCTGAAAATTTCAACTCAACTCGAAGATTCTCCCATTAAAAGTACCTAAACAGTATTTAATTATTTTTATTGATAATAAAGACTTACTCACGTGATTGAACTGAGAAAAGCTCGACCAGTTTCAATTCACTTCGGGACTGTTATTAATAAGCAGCGTGCGCATCGCGGCAGTTGATAGTACATCTCACAATAGTTAGGTACCATTCAAAACTCTTTTACTTACCTTGGTATTGTACTTTTCTTACCGAAATCAATAAGGTAGTAATTAAAGATTTTAAAATGAAAGGTAACGTGGATCTCAACTCAGACGCATAAATAAAGCACGCAACAAGATGGCGTCAGCGTCGGCGGCGGCGGTCGGTGTTGCCAGCAATTAATCTCCATTTCCCGCACGCGCCAAATCGCGCCGCCATTACTGGCTCTGTTTTATTTCATTAAATGGACCCGTCGAATTAATGCGCTGCATCGTTTACAAAACCGATGGAAGGATCGAAAAAACGGCATTGAAAGTTTTCTATGCCTCCTTTGTGGCTGTTTGTGGAAATTGTCCGACATTTTCTTTGTTTATTGAGGAAAAATAGTCTGTGAAGTCATTCAGCGATTCTTTTGATATCTTTTGTGTTGTTTTCTGAATCTATTTGAACTTATAAAGTAAAACATGAATATTTATACTATTTTTATTCTGCTTACAAACAATTGTAATAAATGTGTTTGCAATCCTTTTAGCGGTTTTTCCGGCCTTCATTCATAGTACGCTCTATTTAACGTATTTATTGAATCGGCAAACGTTGTTTTTGTAGATAGCCGTTATTTAAAAGTGTAAATTGACTTTCCAGTTTAAATTCAAATTGCTCTTTCATCATTTGTATCCTAATTATATAAAATAAAAATGTTAGAAAATTACATGGATAAACGATATTGTTCATTTTAAATAAAGTATTTAATTTCAGCGATTCTGTCAGCCCTTCAAGAAATATTTCCATGGTAAAATCGTTACATAAAAAGTATCATATAGTTTCGGCAATAGCCGTTTATATACGGCTATATTCTGACGATGTATAACTAACATGTAACCAAAACACCTCTTTGAGCGAGGGAATGAAATAAAATAAAACAATTGAACGAACGTTGTATTGTTGCAGGTGCGAACGTTGTTCGTCAGCGGTCTGCCCATGGACGCAAAGCCGCGAGAACTCTATCTACTATTTCGAGCGTACGAGGTATGTTCTCAATTAATTACATTATTTTGCTGTACTTACATTGTGCAAGAACACAAGCTATTTAATTAAATTTGTTACATTGCAGTTTCATTCTCAACTTTATTTTTTGTTAAATAAGTTTATTTTTTGTCCTGATGAATGTACCGGAAATACTTACTGAATTGGCTATTGAATTTAACCCAAAATCTCAGCCAATATGGACGAGTCCTCACAAAATAACCGAATCGACAGAAATGTCAAAATATTTATCGAGAGAAAATAAAAACCGAAAACACCACCGTTTTCGTCACGCGACTAGATCTCGATTCGGATTACTGTACCGTAAATATCAAATGTCATGCTCCGATTCGTAATATTCGGATTGAATCGATTCTGTTTACCGATAAGGGGGATTACACTCGATCCTCGGCTGGCACGGATGGCACCACAAACATAAAGGTGCCTAAAGTTAAACCGGGGGTTAGTTTTAGTGTGGGTATCGCGTGACTACATCGCGCCAGGCACCGCCACGTACAACCTTTTTTCGGTAGTTTTAAACATTATTATAGTCTGAATAGAATTTCCCTGCGACATGAATGACACGGACAATTCTAGTAATTTGATAGTGTGGTTCCATCTAAAAGTTTAACAAAACGCTAACCTCGTGTAGGGAACTTTTGATAACAAAGTTAAAATAAACATTGTAATTTGATTTGCGCAGGGCTACGAGGGTTCCCTGCTAAAGGTTACCAGCAAGAATGGGAAAACAGCTTCGGTAAGTTATTTTCTGTTATTTGAATAATTTACGAACTTACAGTCTTATATGTACGTATGATTATATCTATGAATGTGTGCTGATACTCAACTACGTATGTACCTAACAACCAAAATTTTTTTTACACGTCACACAATAGATTGCGGACAGTAAAGTTAGCAATGTCGCCGTCTATTACCGTGATATGACTACGAATTACGACAAGTTTTAAAGAATAATCAATGAATTTTTCAAGTACAGATAGTCATACACTCCCCTTGGATTATCAAATTTATGTCAATAATAAAACTCAATTACTTAATTACATTCACTATTTTTATATAGGAATATCATGTCATAAGTATCGTGAAATGCAGAAATTGTATATTAAAGCAACGTTATGTTATGTGGTATCTCTGTCCCATAAAATATTATATCTATAAGTTACATAAAAAATAATGTGACATAAACTATTATGCGCTACATGGTACATTTCTCTTGCAGCCGGTCGGTTTCGTCACGTTCCACACTAGAGCCGGCGCCGAGGCAGCCAAACAAGATCTTCAGGTTAGTATTGTCACAATAAACTCTCATAGCTCTAGAACTTATTGTAAACCGCTACTACTAAGCATTGGGTTTGAACCAATATCACGACAAAACGTCTTCAAACATATTGGAACGAACTCAATAAATATTTTATCCGTAGATAACTTACAGATAGAATCTAAATAAAATCTTACTAAAATGATTTTATGTTTCCTACAATGCGGAAAATCACACAATAACAAAAATGTACCCACGAACACTACAACGCCTAATCAGTTTGAATGGCTTCCGAACACAGTATGATAGGTTACACAAGGGCCACAGTATCTCAATGAAAGACTGAGATATGTCCTAGGTATCCGACCTTCAATACGCTATTGTAAATACTAAAACATGTATAACGCACGGTGTTACTAAACCTCTTCTCATCACATGCCTCAAACACAGCCAATGAGCACTATAGTTAATATTCTCATTGTAGACTTGGAATAACATTTTCCTGACTCGAGTAACCGCATCGTAAGTTATGCTAAACCCATGCACATACGGAATAGACCACGTCGGGTCATCAAGTCGGTGTTATTGAGCTGTGAGGAGCCGGACTCTGATCGGTTATGTTACGGTGTAAATACCAGTTCGCAATGCATGTCACTGTTTGACAGGTTTTGATGTCACATCCCGAGCACTGTGTTCCGTCACCTTAGCAGGCGCAGGCGCGGACCTCTCGATTCTATCGAATCCTTCCAAAGTTATGACAAAATTGACGAACTTATTGTTGATGTCCCTTGCTCAATCCGTTACACAAAAACTGTCCTATTCTAGGTTAATTAATTTTTGGTTAAATTATTATATTTTGGCAAATATGATGAAGGATAATAATTAAAACATCGTTGCAATTGAAATAATGTGGAACCGACGCCCTCCCAACCCGCGCTATCGTGTTGGTACGCTGGGAGCTCGCGGCGGCCGACCCTTCCATCGTCATTATATCGGAGCGCCGCACCGCTCGCGGCTGTTCACAGCAGGGCGTCCGGTTCGACCCCGACATGCCGCAAACGATTCGGCTGGAGTTCGCTAAAAGCAACACGAAGGTCAGCAAGCCGAAGCCGGCAGTTGCCACAGCCGCGCCAGCTGCACACCCCGCATTGATGCACCCACTCACTGGACGTAAGTACCGCCGAACGCACACACCGCCCGGCGCTCGCTCGAAGCCCCCACATCCATACCGTACCTCTACACACTAATTTGTAGCACGACCTGTGTCTGTGCCATCCTCTCACTACAATGCTCGAATCCTCACTGTTGCTGCCCGAACGCTAGGCGATACAGAGGATGTAAGTAGACAAGAGACGGGTACGACCGGGGCGTCGAGCAATCGCAGAGGGCAAGTATCTGTGACCGCTTACACGTACCACGCAAGGCCTAGCTCCGCGAAGCTACTGATTGATCTATCGGGTTCTTACCACTGTTGTCAACTTTTACATGTTTTCATGATAACACATCAATTATTCTGCAATATTATTGCCAGTGCAAAACTACAAAAAAATAAAAGAAATGTTGACGCAATAAAACTTACCATAACCTTTAAAAAAGATCAGTAAACTTTTTGAATTATTCAGATAATAAAAAAATGTTTTAAGTAAGTAAAGAAAGTTTCAAGAACCGTGAAAACATGTGATAAGCACATTGTAAATAATAATTTTCTATAGCAGTATTCTAATATCACATTCCTAGTTACGTCGTGCGAACGTTGATCTGTTTAACACACTGACACAGCTTGTACTTGTGTCGAGCGGCTGGTGACTTTGTTATTGTGGTGCAGACCTAGCGAGTCCGTTCTTCCCGGGAGGAGGCGCAGAGCTGTGGCACCACCCACTGGCGTACGGCGGCGAACTGCCGGCGCTCTCGCACGGACTGGTGCATCCCGCCATCCACCCACAGATGGCGCCAGTTCGATCCTACCTCTGACTAGCTGCCGCCGATAGGCCACACCACGTATGTTGTCTTATCTCACTTTTAAAAAGCTTCAACTTTATGTTTATAAAATTTTTTGTTAAATTCGATTCGCTTTACCAGTTACTCTCTTAGTTTTTATTGTCAATTTATTGTATTCGTCAGTAAGGTCAATATTTTTAAATTGTTATTTCCAAACGCACATTCAAAAAGCAGTTAAGCATATTGCGTTTTACAAAACTGTTAAACATCCTGAAATTCCTTTAAAGTATTTGTATAACGCAGAATGCTTTACCGCGTATTGTAGAGCGGTTTCTTATGCCATTCCAACTTTACTAGGAGTTTGGACCTTATTATCATGGTAATAATGTCCAGACCCCCCTGACGCTGGGTGCTTGCGTGCTGCCTGCGCCCGCACTGGGGTCGCCCGGCGCCGCTGTGCCGGCGCACACGGGGCCCGCTGCTCATCCCGCGCATCCCGCGCCTCCCTGCTCGACGCTATTTGTCGCCAACCTTGGACAGTTCGTCTCCGAACATGAACTGAAGGAAATTTTTAGCAGGTAAACCCAGAACACTAATCTTACGCTAAACCATGTGCAATTCTATATGTGCAAAACGCTTCAAGTTTTCGACTGCAAATAATCATGCCACGTACATCATCCAGAGTAAATTGGCAAAAACCACTTAACTATTTTCAATTGAAACGTTAAAAATATTTCCAGTCGAAAAATAACACGATGTTATGTGCATGATCACGCAACACATAAGGTAATAAAACATATAAAAGCATTCGAAAATGTATGAAGTTAATCAAATTTAACTTTCCACAGTGCATGTTGCACCGAAAATCACAAAGTCGTCCACATAAAACATTATTGGGTTAAAATTTGTTTCGATTTTAGCTCTACTCTGTCTCACACAAACTGTTTCATTGAGAGAGAACATTAAATAAGATATATTTGCTTGAGCTACATTGTTTGTGTGAGATTTGAAGCCTGCACCCGTACCACCCTAAGCATGACGAACGTCACTATATCTCCACAGTTGTCACAACTAGTCGTACGTTAGCACTGTAACACCACACAATATGAGCCGTGAATATTACTTTTTATGTCGTACGTATCGTGCCGCACACACCCACCGCGATATTTATATCCCGGCCATCAAACAGGATGACAAATATCGCGCTGTTTAGTTTACTTTAGAATTTAGAAGCACCAGACACCACAATAAAACATTGCTTTCTAAATAAAATTTGTACGGTCGAACATAATTTGTTATAAGATTCCACAACATTAGGCCAATATCTTAGACACACATGTCATGAGGGGGGTACGAGTGGGCACAATAGAGTATGATGGTACAGCTGCCCGGGGTTCACTCGCCTGCGACTGCTGAGTGGCGGCAGCAGCGGCGGCGGCAGCTCGGGCCCGGTGGCTTTCGTCGACTTCGCTAACCCATCGGACGCGGCCACCGCGCTGGCTCGCCTGCAGGGCGCGCTGCTTCTCAGCTCTGAAGGCGCCATCCACCTCGAATTTGCGAGGCATAAGATGGCTCACAACGGCTGGATTCTCGCACATGAAGTATGCACGCGCACTATGTTTAGTTACAAGTTCATACGTTTCGTTTTCGCTACATCGCGCAGGGTAGACTGCGTAATCTTGAAATATAATAATTATCATACTTTAAATAAATAAATTTCAAGTCCAAGAAGCTAGATAAATAGTAAATTCTTCATTTCTGTGTTGATAACGATACTTCAGCTGTCATACACAAAACCATGGACATGTTCGTGTATGAGAGTGGAAGACAACAGACCTATGTACTAATGTTTCACCTGCACCTCGCACTATAGTTTGGTAATGCCTGCTAACTCGTAAGCCATAGAGTCTGCCGCTGTGAATGTTTGATCACCCATTAACGTGTGCTGCATTACGCAGGGAGCCAAAGGCGGAGAAGAGGGCGAACAGCATTAACTCGTTCGTAGCTCTCGGCACTTGACAACCAGCTCACTGAGGGACGCGCTATCTGGATCCTCTGCATCGCATCGCGCCGGCGGCACCTGGAGACCGGGCAGACCATCACCCGCAACCCTTATGTCCTCACTAGAAGCTCTGTCTCCTATTTTGTTACGTTTACTGACTCCCTGCGTCAGAGGTGTGGTGTTATTCGTTTATACCAAAATTAGCAAGTGTTAATTGTATTATTATTAACATTCCAGGTTATTGTTTAATGTTCATGCTAAAATAATATTATTTAAATCTATTAATTTCCTATAAATGTAGCATGTTTATTTAATTTTATTATTCGATTTATCATGTAACATAAGATTTATTTACAACTAACTTATTGTACGGTAAAGTTTGTATATTTGTTTTACAAGGCCGATGTATACAACTGAGAGGATTTATTATGGATATAGTTTATTACCAGAAATTAAACATTTTAGGATATATCTCATTCGAGTAAGCTAAAAACCAAAGGTGCCCTTCATAGAAAGATTACGTTTTGTTAAATGATATTTCAAGTTGAATGATTTAAATGAATTTGTATGTAATGTAATACGATACTTTTGTTTTAGCCTCGATAATGTTAGCGTATTTAAATGAATTTCATGACTATTTCAAATTATATTTACCCAATACTTTCTTAGTAATGTTTATAATATTCAATCACTCGTTAAAGCGCTGGCACTCTAGTGTTGGTCTTACGATCCTTTCTATCTGTAAATTTAATAATTGTAATGTTATATAATGGTTGACTAGGACTTGATGCGATAGGACGGGGTAGCCCTCGGAGCCGCTTGTCGAGTGCAACAGGACAGTGCCGCTGAACAGTCGCGCGACGTGCGCACGCGCATCCTCTCCTACTTGTTATGTTACCTCTCTGTTCAATGGATTTGTTATCTCCTTTCTCTACTAGGTGAATACCAAAATTTCTTGTGCCTTGCGAAAAAAAAATCTTAAAATCGAATTTAGATTTTACTCCGGACATGGTGGTCAGTGAAGTTTGTTTATTTGTAATTTTGTACGTCCTGTGTACCAGTACGGGTTCCCTCACTCTTCGCGGTTAGCATGCGATGCGACACAATCGAGATCAGTTCAGTCTTGTCTCTTGTTGCGAGAATTTAGCCTTGGCCTTATGAGAGTTAAATAATTAATGTAATCATTATATTAATAATTAATATATATAGTTGAAACTAGCCGGCGACGTGCGCGCCGACGCTGAATAGTAAAACGTTATTCTACTATCTGCATGCTTTGACGAGCTTTTTGGTAATAATCTAATTTAAAATGTAGTAGTTACTTTTATTGTGTAATCGTTAGGTGAGTAATATAATATTAGATAAGGGTATTTATTGTAGACAATCAGCATAGTTACATTACTATTTAATGAAAGTTATTCATACATAATAATGAAACAATGTAATGAAAATTAAATTTACTGAAATGTTAGGATTAATCAAAATGAAGATTAATATATTTTTTATTTTTAGCTAGTTGACTATCGCATTCAGAATGATTACTTAGTTACCTACGTGTCGACATAAGTACACTACAATGCGAGATAGCAATAAACCAAAAATGAAATATTAATGTTATTATAGGTACCTATTTAGTGACGTATTCTGCTGATGTAAACGTAAAATTTACAAAAAAAAAGTAAAAAAAAATCCCTGCTTAGGCTATAAATAAGGTTTTGGATATTTGGGTTACAATGTTGACGCGACAGAAATCTGTTGAGGTACTCATGCGACTCTCGTCGGTCGCCGGCCAGAGCACCGCATGTGAATTCTTATGAAATCTCTTAGTCAATATTTAATAGAAATTTCGTCAATTTTTGACTTAGCAAAATTTTATACATTGTTTATAGTAACTGTAATTTCACAATGTACCGAACGTCGTGGCGTATAGACCAAAGATAAAGGATTATACATAATTTTAATACTAACCTCAGACCGTACCAAACTTGTATTTTGTAGGCTCATTGTACTGCGACGTTAAGTGGACACGACAAATATTCGAGAGCCACAGCAGTGCAAGCAGACATCATTTGTACCGACACAAGTAAGGCTGATGCCGCCGTGATACACGAAGACACCTAGGATAGGCATCTTATTGTACTGTTTCATTGTTACCTACTTTTGCTAATGTTAGAGACGAAACAATCAATTTATTAAATTAAATATACATTTCGATTCAGTTTTATACCCAAGCCATTAATATCAAATGTAAATCAAACATGTACTTTAATGTTTTATGTCACATGAAATCTCCAGACAGATTCTGATTCTCTTATATGTATATTATTCATTGTGGGTTTTATTGTTAAGCTAAGTCAATGTTCACATATTTAATTCGATATATATAATGCTAATTCGTGTGTAAGTAATTGTGTAATAATGTAGTAGTGATCTCCCATACCTTCGGCGAGCGGCGTCCTCAGGCGCATACTGAAATACAACGAAAAGTTTATTTTTTCTTTTCAGTTGTCCTGCGTTAGTCTGTCGATGGCTCTATTGCCTTTTTGACGATCAATTTTAAGCTCTCTTCTGTCAAATGTGTCATCTCTTTGAAATCTCTTTGATAGTTTTATTGTAAACCGTAGAGCCACCGACAGGCAACACCTAGTTTAGCGAACCCGGCCCGGCCAGGAGGGCGGGCGGTGCGCGCAGGACGCCGTCGCCGCCATGATTCCGTCCAACAACCTTAGATAGCGAGTAAGAGACGTCCAGTGGCTGCGGACACGGCTACGTCACCTTTTGCGGGACTACTCGATACATATCATCATGTAATATTTAATGTGTAATTAGGAATTAAAAAAGCGGTTTCATAGAGGCGTTTATTCTGTATTTCTCGTCTACTACTTATAATGCAATCGGCTATGTGTCACGCTCACCTACTTTTGCGTTTCCGACATAATATATCATTCGCTTTGCTCTCGTTTATCCTTTCACTCGAAATTTTCTCTAGTTCTAATTAATTTTATCTGTAAACAGAAAAGTAATTGTAAACCTCAAAAGATATTTTCTTAACGTTTACTGTGAAATCGAGTAGCTAGATGGTGTTCGGATCGTCGTTGTTTATATAAAGACGCGTGACATTGGCCCGCATGTGATAGGGTAGTGTAGGGGTGTAGCGTCGCCTTGCAAGTTAGGTTAAGTGAAGCGGTATCACACAAACGCCGTGCATCGGAAACATATCAATTCTGTGCCCCTTAATAAATTTAGTTAAATACTATTCTAAGAGATACAATATGGATAGAATAAAGAAGACAAAATAATCGGAGTATCAAATACCTGCTAAGTGTTGTTTTCGTACGTTAATGGTTAGATTGTGTTAAATAAACGTGGATCGTAACGCATAGTCCCCGAGTAGTGTCGCGCAACTTCCCTTGTTTGTCGCCGCGCGGCCGCGAACCCGCAGTACGCGAGTGTACGCGCCGTGCGGCACTTTATTGTTATTTAGATATATTGACATGGCTTCTTTACCAAATTACTTTAACTGTTCGCTTCGTATTCAGTATTAAATGACATTTTATTTTAATTTCGGCGACAAGAGTTAGTGCGTTGCTGAAAACTGATTTGTATATCGAGCAAATAAACCATACAAACTATATAGTTAGTAATTAATTGTTAGATTTGTGTGACTTGATTATTTAATGCTTTTAGAGCAGAGGTAAAGTGTTATTGTGGTTTAAGAAAAACATAATGACATTGTAAAAATAGTGATAAAATTAGCTTAATTATCATTATTACAACTTTTATAGATGTTCATTAATTTTCTTTTCTTACTTCATGGAGTATTGTGGCATTGGAGACGTCATTGTTAATTCAAATAAATTTGAGCTCATCCTCAATCGAAGTTTTTATTCATGAACCCTGTCTGCGTCAGCCCGCTACCGAGCTACTGAGTCACTGAGCTACTGTCTCCAAGTCGAGTCGAGAACAACCGTAACGAAGGTACTCAAACCTTATAGAAAAATGTTTTATAAATTAGCTGTAGGTAACAGATCTTTTATTAAATAAATAAATATAATCATTGTTTTCTCGAACGAACTTATGTTCAATATTATGTGTCTATTAGTAAATAAAAATAGTACTTTATAGGTGTCTAGTTTAGGATAACTGGAATTAGATATAAAATTAACAGTTATGCTTTTAAAACGTTGCTTTGTAGACTTGTCTGCTTACGTGCCTCCTTTTGTAAAATGAATTTGAGAAAAATGTATTTGATCACAATGTTAATTCTTCAATTTAGTTTACAGAAGGGGCACGATACGATGAAATATGAAAACTCTTTATTTCCATAATAATTATTGCAATGTTGTATTTATGTTATTATTAGTTTTAAAGCATTATAGGGTCCAAAGATTGGGAATAAACATTATGTGACAATTAATGTTCTTGTTTCTTTTACTGGACTTGTAAATCACCTGATGATGTGGGGTAGAGGCTAATGCACAGCCAAGCAAGACTTAGGTCTACTAGCATGCAGGTTCTCAGAAGTAAATTCAAGAAAAAAAAATGTCGAGTCTTTAATTCTAAATGTTACGCAGTAGAAGAATAGAGTAAGTAGTTTTTAATGTCAACCAACTTGTTTAATCTAGTAACAAAGTACATAGGTGTGCAGAACGTCATTGGGGAGTTAGTGCTTAATTATTTAGACAGTCGAAACTTGGCGTGGCCTCGTTCTGCGGCCCCGACCAAATTAGTATGAATATCATTAATATCACATTAGCTACGACCGACGAACGTATGCCGGTTGAAATTGCGTTACCAGTTAATTTCAGGATGGATTTCAACTGGATTTTCTGTTTAACCAGAATTGTTTTATAAGAACGTAGTGGTCTATGCCATAGTTCGTATATATAAGTCATATTCCAACTACGATTTGGTAATTTTCATACCTAAAAAGCTTCGTAGCAATGTTCGTAGCGGTTTCGTAGCAAATTGCTACGAAACTCGATATCTGTAATTAAGAATGGACAGAGCTCGTATCTCCACCCACGTTGGTGCTCGCACGTTGTAATTATGATGAAGCTGAAATTTTGACACGATACTACGAAACACGGAGAAATGAGTTTTTAGTCCTCTTCAGAAACATGTCGACGACATAATCATACCGAAGCCTTTGTACCTGTAGTGGTGTGGCAATTCATATATCCCAATAATATTGCAATAACAGATTTTTAGCTACATTGTTGGAGAGACAACGAGAAATGTGGAAAATTAAGTAAGTATACTATATTACAAAACGAAAGAAATAACATTAATTATTCATATTACTGCAAAACAGAACTCAATATTGTTAACCAGTAATGTTATTGATTCCTTGTATACTCATAACTAGGACACACTTCATTTATACAAAATGTATTTCTATATTACAAGCAATCTCAAGACAATAAACAATCGTAATATGTATTTACGGAACGTGTCATACGTAACGTAGATGTTTGACACAATCTTTGTATAGAATGCCAGCCAAAGAATACACTACACTTTACAAAGAGATTCCGAATATAAGAGAATTCAACTCGCTCCAAATGTCAACGGGAAAATACAGTCACACCAAGAGAGCAGTGAAAATATAAAAATTAAAGTTAGTTTAAACTTTATATAGGTTTAAATAAGGTTTTAACTCGAGTGTTGTAATAATGTGAATAAAACAAGTCGTGTAAGCCATCTTCTAGAGGTTATTTGCCTCTAGGGAATAAAGTTTAAAAGGACCTAGTGTTCTCGGCAAATTGCCTAGGTTCTGTTTGGTACACTCGTTAAAACTGTTTTACTGTATGTTAGTGGCTAAATTGCAGTTTTTACAGTGGTCTGTTAGTACCACAATGTACTCGCGTGATTAAATATTAGGTACTTTTCAAGACAGTTAAAACAGTTTTCATAAAAAAATAAAAATATTCCTTAATTTCTTATTATTGGGAAATCCCGTTTGTCAGAATTTCAAAATTCGAAATACTCATATTTATAAAATGCATACAGAGACTTTATATTCACAAGTCTTTGCAGCTTGTGAGCTGATAAAATTATAGAAATAATACAAAAAATCATTCCTCTTTGAATAAGCGAAAAAAAATATTAGAAATGAAACTAGACTTATAAATTAAAATAAGTACATAGATTTGAATGATCATTGCTAATTTATTACAAAAAATGTTACTACAATTTAAAGAATAATTTATGTAGTAATATAATCCAACAAAACTACACGCGCACTTTGTCATGTTTGGTTTTGGTCCGACCGCGCACAGGTGATCACACTCACTGAGCCGCTGTGGTTATGACTAATAGCACTCAACTTTACAATATACAAACCACACACATATTTTTGTAACATTGAATAATAAACACCCTGATATTTGCTAAAGGGATAAGCAATTTGGCGCTCACAAAAATAATCACTTTTCGTCACTTATAAAATTAAATCTTAATATAAAAAGAAGCATGGTTGTTACCTTAGAAAAAAAATCAATGCTCCAGATTCAAAGTTTTCAATATAAAGTATGTTACTGGACGTGGCGAACAAACCCGAGACTACTCCATCAACGAAGCTGTAGAGCAGATTTTTACACTGCAATTTATATTTATATAAAATAGCTTTACACTTCAATTGTATAAAAATGAATTGATCTGCTCACTCAATCCTAAGCAAAAAATGCTTTTGAACACACCCTTTGTTAATAGCAATAGATCAAAGCGCGAAAATATCGAATGTTCAGATTTATTTTAATCGAAATAGAATATATAAACAAAACGCAACGTTAGCAACGTTATAAAATATAATATAATAGATAGTAGTACGAATAGGATACCCCACTTACACAATAAATTACGATTAGCCTTCACAGTTTTACAGTTAGTTATCGGAAATAACTGATGTGTCGGAGCAAAGATTGTAAACAATCATTAGCGAGTTGTAAAGGACAGATGACTGTCACTCAAAGTAACATTCAGATTACAATCTGGATAATACTCATTTTTTTTTTTTGAGTGGAAAACCTTCAAATGCCTTCTCCCGCCCAGGGCCGGGCAGGAGGGAGTGTCAGACTCTTACTGACTAAAAACCCCCTTGTTCCTTCTCCTGCTCTGTGCCGAGGTCGCGGTACCTCATTGCGCTTACCCCGCAACCCCGGCGGATAATTACTCAATGACGACTCGAAAGTGGCCAGTGCTGCACAAAAGACTCTTTTTACACGGCAAAGGAATAAGCTTTAACCACCACGCTTGCAGGTCTCCTCTTCGGGGTTTTTACCTTACCGTATGTAAGTCGTATCTAAATAATCTTACACGTCACTTGTAACTACTAAGTACAAACCTTGCAATTAATGAATTTAGTAAAAAATACTATCTTAGGAGCAGTCGTTTGGGATTGGGAGTGAACCACACACATACGTTTCAGTGATTGGTTTCTATTTCAACAGGAAAATTTAGTTTTAAATAGATGGTAAGTACAAATTATAGGTATTGTAAACCTTGCCTCAGCAGCGTTATGAACATACTATTTTATGGTTTATCTCTGTAATGATATTGGCACTAACACAAAGTATTTTGTTTATTTATAATTATCGTAAAGAACTGATATACAACAGATCGTAATGTTTTTGTACCTACAAACATTGTGTGTATGTTATTGAACTTGAAATACACCAGTGATTCATAGCTTTACCAAGAAATCTAGAATATATCTGAAGTTGTTTACATAATAAAATTCAAACATTATTCTAAGAATGATATTATTTTGCGACTGTTTCAAGCTTAGCAAGATTATTAACAATAAGGTTATTATTTAGCTTCTATTTTTTTAAGAGGTCGGCAAAGGAACTGGTGCATTACCTAATGGTAAGCAATCGACGTCGCTAATGAACATCCCTAACGCCAAAGGAGTTACGAGTGCGTTGTCGATTGCCGTGGTATTCGAGCCAACCCATTCGTGCCGAAGCTTGGCTCTCCCACACTTAGAATCTATAGCATACTAACACAAGGACTCACCTCATTTTAATTAATCAGTGTCGCCCATGGACAAACTGCAGCCCGCAACACCAGAGGAACAATAAGGGCGTTCCCAGCCTTTTAGGAGGCGTTCTTTATTTGAATTAATCTATTATTAGAGACTGAATCTAAAATGGAGCTTGGTGGTTGCAATAATGTAAATCAGCCCCGGTGTGGTGCAGGAGAAGAAACGGGGTTTTTAATCAGCTTGGGTGTTCAGAGTTCCTGTTGTCCCACCCAAGGTGGGAGAAATAATATGATGATTCTCAGCCCTGAATAAAAATGCCAATTAATCAGAAATCATCAGTTTGATTCAGTTTGAGACCTATAAACAGTGTTACTATTTTTTGAAACAATAAAAAATCGGTTCTTTCCTAAAACCGTACCGACGCAAGTTTTTCATAATGTAATGGTATACGTATCATCAGGTACACAATTGTTATGATGTTTGAATTAATACGTTTGGTATTGTAATTACGAATCAATCAGTTACAATTAGTATGAAATTGAATTATAATTTCAATATGCACTACGTCAGTAAACATCAGTGGGTTTGTATTAATATTGTTAGTTACCTACATATGAATTTAATGTTATTAACACGGGACGGAGCTTCTTCCATCGTTCCAATTAAAGGAAAGGATATCCATTTCTACTTCTTAATAATAAAACTTAGATAAAGGAAAAACAATGGATGTTTGGATGCGTTTACAGTCTGTACATTCTTTTGGTAAGTATGATGGTGCACGCCAAGCCCAATGATGAATCGCGGTCTGACTCAGAACAGGAGAAAAAGTCAGTAAGAGTCTGTCGCCTCACCCAGTATGAAAAAAAAATTAGTACCACTACTAGGCTTAGAAGCCGACCAAATAATTATAAAAGATATGGCTTCAATAAGAATAAAGACTAAGAGTGGGAGGGCCAAGCTTCGGCACGAATGGAGCGGCTTGACCGGACCACGGCCTCACAGAAAACATGCGTGAAACAACCACAGCATTATATTTCGTTGGGTGAGTGAAATTACCGGAGGCCTAAACCCTGAACCTACACCCCATCCCTTCCTAATCCTTAAATATTCGAAACCCTTATCCCCAAAAGGCGGCAACGAACGTGTAACTCCTTTGGTGTTACGGGTGTCCATGGGCGACATAACGTAACATATAATTACGTGTAACACTAGTAGGTATGTATATGATGTGCTGGTCGCAGTTCTAAATTATCATTATAGTAGTGACTGGGATGTTAAATTCAACTGTTACTATCAAATGACTAGTTATTTAGGGCTTTGGTTGAATGACTCAACATATTCATATTATGTTCACATACGTACCTACTTCATCAATTATACCACCAGTATTATTGTACTAACTAAACAAGCTATGAATATT